CCATCCCATGTAATGCTGTCTCATTTGTAAGGTTTATGCAAGCATTGTTTACTTCTGTTTTCATCCTTGGTCTCTTACATGTGAGCATCTGCAAGAGGCATTCACATTTGAAAACTCCCAGAAGTTCAGAACTTGTGTATCTTGAAACTAGCATTTAAAAAAGGGGGGAAAGCAACCCTTGTGAATAACTGACTTTTTAAAGTGATTGGTTGTTAAACCTCAGTATGAAAGATGGTAGATGGAAAAAACCCATCCATTTCTGATTGTGCAGTATAAGAAAGGCATTTTGTTAATGGTGGTATATGTTTACTCACATTAGTTAAAATCATGTTTATTTTAATACGTTTAATAACGTATTGTACATCTCTGGCAAATGATCAAATTGGGTTACAGTCGTGAATTGCAGAGTGGAATAGATCCATCAGTATGTTTTAGGTTTCCTGTTTTGTTTTTCCATTCCAAAGGAGAGGTTCAGGAACACTGACGGTGGAAAGATAGTAGAAGTAGCTTCCACCCCCCAAATTCCACACAGGCTTGTCCTCTCCGCACCCCTGTGCCCCTGCCTCCCCGAAAGGACACTAGTATTTTCCATCTGCTCTTCTTACACAGCTGCAAGTGGAAGATCATTGAAATTTATATGATGCTGTTTTGACATTGCCCTTAATCTGTGGCAGAAATCAAGCTCACCAGACTGAGGTATCTTAAGGGATCCTTGAATACACTTAATGCAAGGTTAATGATTGCTCTGCAGTTAAATAATCTGGGGAGTAGCGGGAGAAATGCGGCGTGAAATAATGTGCTCCTGAAAAAGTGAGAGGATTGCTTCCCAGGAGCAGAACAGAAAGCTTCTATGTAGGTTGCAGAGATGGTTTGAGAAGGAGAGGGAGATCAGATTTGACTCTGAATTAAGCCTCTTAGGGATTATGTATCTTTAAAAGTAAGTCCTGGGGTAACATTACAATCAGAAATTTTCAGAACTTCCCCCCAGTATTCTCTTAGTTTTTCTTCCAAATCCAGTGTCGGTGTAAGACTGGAGACTCTTTTCTAAGCATCATTCCAGCTCTACCTTGTGAGTTACCACTTAGACCATTGACTGCTATTTAGCATGCTTTTCAAGCAGATGCTTTTTTGTCTGAGGATATAAATCAAAATTAATTTTTGAAATATGTAATTGAGTGCTAAACAGTATTTTTGCCTCAAGAAAGCTTGATTTTTTTTTTGTCTTAAAATGAAATTTGCGTAGAGCTCCAAGTAATTAAGCTTCAACTTTTCACTGGTAATATTTTTTTAATATTTTGGGTTTGTGTGTTGCCATACATACTTCAGTTTATGTATATTGATGGTAGTAGGCACGGATTTTGCGAACTGGGCCAATTCAGCTGTCTGCCCTCATGCATTGTCATGGCAGGGGTGCTCGTCCTTTGCTCAGGTAACCGTACACTTGCAGTTACTGTAAAGTAAAAGGCTCTTGATGCGCTGACACGTCGGTACCGGCCGGTGTGACAAGCAGCTTACCTCCGGGCAGATCACAGTCTCTTGCCTCCGTTAGGGCTGACCGTAAGCAGTCTGTCTCTGAAACCCACTTTTTCCTTTGAGCGTGTGTGGTGGAGTCCCAATTCTGGTTTTTGTGATTGGGACTTTGGTGTGCTGTGAAGTACACAGAAGTTTAGAGATTGATACAGCGGAGGGCAGATTTGAGTTCGGCATTTAGAGGAATCGGTTTGATGTGGTCCTAATGGGTATGTCTGTTTCTTACGCAAATGCACACCTGAAAATATTAAAATTGAAATAGTCTGAAATGGCTTTGGCAAAGTTTTAACGCATGCTAGTGTATCTCTGCTGTGTGCTTTAAATGTTTGCAGAGTGTGGGGTAAACTTATGCTCATGGTGAGTAGCTTGTGTAGGAGTTGTGTAAATAATTGAATTAAACTTCCATTTGACTGTTCCAAGTATTTGGTGTTATTTGTCAGTTTTGGGGAGGGGGTGGAAAGCTAACTGAGGCTTTTGAAATTATGTGGAATAATTTAGAGTGTACAGGCTAGGTCCCCAAAAGCTCATACTGCTTATGAGATTATTTCTTGCAAGGGTGTATTGCTTTTATAAAATCCTAGTGCTCTCTTGCTTAAAAATGCTTACTACTTAGGCATTTCAGTTGCAGAAAAACCTCTTGAATTTGAATTAATGGTTCAGAATTAGTACCAGAGTGGTGTCTTTCTGAAGCTGTTTCACAGCTAAAACAAGTATGTTCTTACACAGAGATAACTCGTATAGTGCCAGGCACACTGATTCATTGGGATGTAGGATGGATGGGCAGCAGGCAGGGAGCTAGCGCTGTATTTCAAGTTGCTTAAAATGCAATGGCTTCCCCCCCCCGCATCCTTTTTTGTAGATATTATTATACTCGCCAAGTGATGTGATATCTCGGTTCTTTTTCACATCAGCACGTCGTGTTGCCTTAAAAGGGGTAGAAAATTCTGTCGTGCTTGGAGAGGGTGCCGTGTGTGCAGCTTGCAGAAATCTTTTCTTGACAGACGAGGCTGACTTGAGAGGCAGAAGACAGGAAGGTCGGCTAAGTTGTGTTTTTCTCAGTTTATTATGCAGGGAGCTTTTAACTTGGTTTACTTTGTGTTTGCAGGTATAAAGCGTTGTTAAATAAAGTCTCATAAAATCAAATAAAATTCTGCTTTCTTCAGGCCCAAATGGGATGGGGTGGTTTTTTGGTTTTTTTTTTTTTTTTCCTCTAGTCTGACTAGGATTAGTTCTTGGGTTAGGTGCTGGTAGATTTTTAATGTCCTAAATTACGGAGAAACAGTTGCATAGACATAACATTTCCCTATGTGAATACATCACTATATAGTAAAATAGTTCCATTAAGATAGAATTAATGATCACTTTGTTTAACTTTTGTCTTGTGTTCCCTAATGAAAAAGTAGCACTTACTTACTTTTGCTGAGAAAGAAGTACCAGGCCTGTGATACCTCAGTTAAATAAAAACACTGGTAGATGAAAAGACTGTAGTGTTATATGGAGGAATTAGGATTGGATTTATATAACTTTTAATAGTGTGTAGTTGAGATTACTGTTTTGTTTTGTTGCATGACTGCATCAAAAATATCTCCTAAAAACATAATTTAGTTATGATTCAGCAAGCGTTTTTCGTAGGCATGTTTTTGGAACATGATAAATTCTAGCTGGTATGTTACGGAATAAAAATGACTTGGTTATACTGAGAGCATAAGCCAAGTTTAAGTCCTGTGCCAAGAACTGTGAAGCCGTTCACTCAAGTACAATTTAGGGATCCTGTTCTGTACAGGTGGTGTACTGTCTCAGTTGGTAGTTAGCAGTTGGTTATGTGAAGGTTATTTAAAGCGTTAACTGTTTCACTGTGCTTCAGACATTTGTATCACAGGTGTTCCAGTTTATTTTGACTGTTAGAATTGCATGTGACTAAACCAGATTGTATTAGTATTTGTTTAAAAACACTGAAGGGCGTTAAAATGGTTAAACTCTTTCCACACATAAGTGCTGTATGTATAAATCACTTTTTGTGCAAGAAAACTACATCTTGTAATTGCTGTGGAATTTAGCTTAAACTTAAGCTTTGAAATTTATGAATGTAGACATCTGTGAGTCATGCAAACAGCAAGTACACGAGTTTTATTGGAATAAACCACCTAAAGTCTAAAAAAAAAAAATACTGTGATTGAGTTACTGTATGTACAGTTTGTGGCAACAGCCTGCACTTCACTAGAGATGATTTTTCGGATTTTGAGAACTTTTTTGTGTGGTTCAACTCCCAGTTTAGTTAGCTTGGCTGTAGCAAGATACAACTAAGGATTTACCATGAGCAAGTCTTGACACTGCTGAAAAAGCTGGTGTCTGCCCTGATTTTCTGACAGAAGGGTGGAGGATAGCAAAGAATTGTCTTAAATGACCCTCAGAGTACGCTGCAGATGAATGAGAGCGGTAAGCTGTAAGGTACTGGGCCAAACTGACCTGCTGTTATCCATAGCCATAGTATTTGTGACCAGAAACTGTTACTGTGACTATCCCTCCACATGCTAAGAATGTGTTATTAGTGGTATTTTCCAGTCCTCTTGTCTATTTTGTCAGTTTATTCAACTCCTTGTTCAGCTTCTTTCTGTCCCAGTATCTATCTGCTGTTCTGAATGTTCAGATCCTATTCAGCTGATTACAGCTGGTGGTGGAAGTTTATAGAAAGTTCCAGGTGCTATGAAATGCCAACATGTCAGGCCTTTTTATTGGGAAGGCTTCATTTTTCTGTAAACTAAATATAAGCTCTCATTTTAGCGTGGTTTTTTTCGTGGTCTTGCTAGGTACTTATTTTTTTCCATAGAAATATAGATGCAAAATATCTATAGATGCAGGAAGATAATGTTGGGAACAGACGTTTCATCTTAGGTTTGTTCTGCAGAGTTTCAGGCAGAGGGGTAACAAAATTTGTAAGAGCAGCTGTACCAAAATTGATGATATTTAGATGCTGTGTATTTTTCCTACACCTAGGCAGTTTCAGTTCTGTGGTTGTGCACTCAGGTAATGGTACGATTAGTACCATTTTGCATAACTCACTAGTTTAGCAGAAATCTGGAAAAGTAATTCGTGTTTTTTCTGTTGTGAAAGGTAGGTATATGTGTTTTAGAAGGTAAACCAGCTTGTCTGGCTTACATGAACTGATGCACCTTCTCACCCCTATGTGTTGGTTTAAAACTGGGCACGGGATGAGCTGCAGTTTGTGCTGTGATTACCTCTAGTGGGAATTTGAAGGAAAATGCATTGCATAGAGTTTTAGAGCCTAAAGGACTTTGCTAAAGACATGGGAAAGAATTGAGATGAGAGTTGGGATGCAAACAGGTGAGTTTCTGGCTCCCAACACACAGGTGTTTTTGAATGCTAGTATCTTAATAAACTTTACCGTGAATTTATTAATTGTCTTGCATACAAATCCTTCTTTAACAAAGATCCTTCTCTTTTATTTTTAGTATATTTTTGGGGAGTTCAGCCCTGATGAGTTTAATCAGTTCTTTGTGACTCCACGATGCTCTGTTGAGGTAAGATCTACTTTAAACTTCTTTTAGAAATAACATTTTAAAGTTACCTCTCTTTGTGTATATTTGAAATATAACAATACAATGATTTTTTTAATCATTCTCTTAGCTTGCTAATTTACAAACTGAAGATACTGAACAAGAGTCGTCTTTCCACGTATGTGGATGTTAAGTCAATTTTTAGAAATAAGAAATTAATTATTCCATCTTCTGCTTGTCGTCTTTCAGAGCTGGAATAGCTGACATTGTAGCAATAGGATGTTAAAAGTGAGTTATCCAGCCCTATTACCTTAGCTTTGATTTTATTTATTTTTTTTTATTTTTTGGAGGTGGATATAGAGAAAACTTTTTCAGCAGTTGTTCTTAGTTGTAAGTAAGGTAGGCTAAGTCTTGTGAGCCTTTTGAAGCACAAGACTCAGTATTTTTTGACAGGAGGAGCACTGCTAACCATCAAAGCTATGCTTATGTGGAAGGCTGTGCGTGAGGTCTGAGAAATGGATCAATAATGAACTAAATACAGTGTCAGTGAGAATCACAGAGTGGAAACAGTTCTCTCTGTGTGTTTGAGTTCATAAAATACTACAGATAGTATTGTAGACTCTTACGCGCTGTAGTTCTTGGTAGAGAGTGAAGAAACCATTTTCCTTTGTAGGGAAGAGTATTATGCTATTGTCCTAATCTCCAGACTTGAAAAATCATTTTCCTCTAGGTGAATTTCCATGTTTTTCCTCCAGACATTTCTATTCAAACATTTCAACCATGCTTCCGTCCTCCCCCCTCAACATAAAGGAAATGAACACTTCAGCTGTAGATGGGGAAATCCTTTTGTCACATTTTACAAATCTGACGACCATTGTTAATAGGACTTAGTTTCCTGTAACTTAATTTTCCAAGTATAATTAGTATAGTAATCCGCTAAAAAACAAAAGCACATGAAGGGGATGGGATGGGGTGGGGGGGTAAGGGAAGTTTAGAAAGAAAAAGATAGCTTCTACTTGCCTTCAGGGATAGCTTTGTATCTTCTCTGGTAGGGGGGAAGTAACGCAGAATAGATCTTCAGGTAATACATGTTTCTTCTCATTACATTGCTGTTTTCCCACCATTAAATACAGGAGCAGCAGTATGACGTTTGCATCCTAGGTAGTGTCACCTGAAGTGTCCTACCTCAGCTGTTCTAACGCTTACTTTGTGGAAGGTGAACATGTCATATCTTGACTTCCATAAAGCTATTCTCATGACATATGTTGAGGAAACATGAACCTGCAGAGTTTGAACCAGGCTTACTTCATTTTATAACTGTCTCAAGTGTACCACTTACTGGTTAGCTATCAAAATAAAAAAAAAAACTGTGTTGAACAATGTTCCTTAAGTTTGTCCTTGATCTGGTTTGGTTCAATGTTTTAATTATCTGGATGATGAAATAAAAATTACTCTTTATTAGTTTTACTCTGTGCAGATATTCCAGAAAAAAGTGGTCAGAAAAAAAATAGGATGAAATTCAAGAAGGACAAGACTGAGATGATAATACTGCAGTGGTGTTTGACACGCATTCTGTTGGGGGCAGTGCCAGTTCTGGGAGTCCCTGCATCCGTTGATGCTGGTGTGCTTCTGAAGTCCCTTACCTATAGACTGAAAGGTGGACGGAGGCAAGGGATTAGTTAAAGCTAAAAGTTGTCTAGAATGTCTCTTTTTACATGGCATTTTTAATACGTGTTCTGTCAGATAACTCTTGACTGAGATGATCCTGATGACCCAGTTGTATGAAACAGGTCAACTCGGAAATCTCTGCGTCACAAAGGTGCTGTTGATTAACCATGTATGTAGGGGACCAATAGGTGGACTTTTTTTTTTTAAAAAAAAATTTTATTTTTTACTTTGTATTTTCTTAAGCCCTTTGAGTTGGAGAAAAACAGGAATTACGAGGTTTATAAACTGTTGACTGTAGACTTTTAAAGTAACTTTTTTAGCTCTAATTATAAAATTATATTGAATCTGTGTTCAATATTAATATGGATAATAGGTTCTTAACAGCTTGGAGCCTCTTTCTGGCCCATTGATTCTCATTTTTCACCTGGCAAGCTGATGTATTAAGATGTATTATGGTTTATAAATGGATTTTACAGTATGTGTTCTTTTTATGCACTTTTTTTATAATGGAATTCTAGGAATATTTTTCTTGCCACTTCTGATGCACTGTTGTCTATGGTGCTTTAAGAAGGCAATATGTAAGTATCTGTAGCTTTAGAGAAGTGAAGGCTTCAGTGGAGAAGTCTTTGATATTTGTTACACCATTATAATTAATATTTAGAATAGCATTATAAAACTGGACTATATATAGATGACTATACGGGCACAGGAGAAGGCTTTCAGCTGCTGGGGGAGTATGGGGGCAGGCAAAGGGGGATTAGAAATTCCCCACCTGTGGTCAATACACACGATAGCAGGGGTTCTGTCAACCCCTGAGTCCATAAAATGATGCCAGTGTTTTATGCTAGACGTATTTACAGTCCAGACAGAAACTATGTGCTGTGGTTACATTATGCTTAGGCTGATGATAAAAAATTTTTGGTTTTGTTAAATGTGATTAAGAATACACCTTAGCTGAAACACTTCAAGGGCAACACTATAGCTGAACCAGGTGGAGAGTCAAAAGGTTTAGGTGCGACTGTTGTCTGTGCAAAACTTTGTTTCATCCTTTCACAGGTAGTTTGGTCTGTCTTCAGTTTTTGTCTAGAAAGAGGATACATTCCTCATTCTAAAATCATGGTGAGTTACTGTTGATGAAGGAAGATCCTGATGCTATGAGATGAATTGCTTGAGAAGTTGATGAGCTGATGGTGTATAACCAAGATAATCTTTATCTTTCAGTAATTGTGGTAATCTGCAAGGACACTTGAAGCCACAATGTGGGATTTGATAAATATAGAAGCATGAGTTCAAGACATACTCTCAGCAAATCAAACCGTAATAATGATGTTATTTTTAAAGGATTCAGATGTTTCAAATGAAACTGCTGTCAAATGTTAATAGAGTTGCTTTGTCTTTAAATAAGTTTCTTTTTTGTTCTTGTGCAGCTCCCCCCATACAATGAAACAGTTTCATGTGGTATTAAGTCCACAGGTAAGTTTCACGATGGTAAGAAATCAACATGCTTTTTTTTTTTTTTTTTAACTTAAAGGTTGTGATACTTCCCTTAGATTTACCACAACCTCTCTTTAAATTTTAATCTTTAGAACTCATTCAGCAGGTATATATGCATATATGTGGCAGGTGTTTTTTTTAAACACCTTTATTGAATGAGATCCATGAGAGTATTTGAAAATACTGCATTGAACTTCAGCTAATTAGGGTGGACATGCTTATTCCTCATTGATTGTGCTACCACACAATCTTAGTGTCTTGCTAAAATACTGTAGGATGTATGTAGCTGTAAAAATGTGGGGGGCTGAAGCTTGCTAGAGAACTTGTACTGAAGAAATAACTAACTAGTGTGGCATTCAGCTGGCCCTCCTGTAAGAGCCATAGCATGAGTATTTTCTGGCAGTTGCAACCTGAAGACAGCTCTGCAAGCAGTGCTCTGTTCAGTGTTCCGTTTGACTCTTGTTTCTGTCTGGCTCAGTTCTTTTTCTGGAAAATGCCCCCCCCACCCCTTAGTGAAAGTATGACTCTTGATGTAAAAATGCATTACAGAGTTCCCATTTTAAAGCTGTAATAGTCACACATCTACTCTGTCTCAACCCGTACACCTTACAACCTGGCCTTACTTCATAGTTCTATAAAGTTGACAGTTAAGTAGGAGTTGCCATGTGATCATCACTCTATATAGTTTAAAACAAACTTTCTCAGTATTTTAAGCGGCAGGTAAATTAGTGTTTGTTTTTTTCCCTGAACCAGGGGAGAGCAAGGAAGCTGAGACTTACCCAGATGTATATGAGAATGATACAAATGACATCCAGATCTCCTTCAAAATAATACAAGTGTCTGACTGGACATTTCTCAAAAGTACTTAAGAGGACCAAAATGCACATGCTAATGTTTAAGAACACCTGATCATTATGCTTAGCGACTTTGGCCTTGCGTTTAAAGGTAAATAAGTTAGCTAGTCGTAAAGACGGACAACAGGTCCCATTTGAAAGCGGACGTGTAATATTTCTGAAAATTCAGGAGCTTTATTTAGTACAAGACCAGTTTTAGGACCCTGAGTAGTTTTAAGTAGGAGTTTGAAATGTTCATTAAAAGAACCATATGGTACGAATTGTCTGTTGTTGATGACAGGGGTGTCCAGTCACATATTGCTTTGTCTAACTATGGATTTGAGTTCTGTTCTTTAAGACTGAGATTTTAATGTTCACAAGCCATACAGAAAGTTGGTTTGTACAAATGTTTTTCAGATCATTCCTAGACCCTGAGAGAACCCCTCCCAGCCCTGAGATTAGGTAATGACAGCAAATTAGGTTTTGCCTGAAAAATGTCTTCAACAAGCTTGCACTGTACTGTGCATGCATATTGTCACTGTGATGGCTGCATAAGAAGCTGTGGAAACTAAAATGGAATGCTATGCTTATGCAGAATATTTATAATTATAATGAGATGACACACACTGACCATGTTGTCACCCCCCCCCCGCCGTAGTCTAATTTTTTTCCTGTACTTATCTTCAGTATTTAACTTTATTACGGAATTAGAAGATCTGTTAATACTTACTGAGAATAATCAAATCGCGGCTGAAGCTCTAATGTGCAGAACTCTGTTCAGACTAATTAGTACTGTGTATTCACAGCTTTTGTTATTGTACATAGACTTTGTCCTTGGAGCATCTGTTGATACTTGTTTCAATATGTGTGTCATGTCGTTCATGACAGATCTATCTGTTTCAGTCCATTCAGAAATAGCACTGTGAACTACATTGAAACAAAGATGCCCAGAAGCAAAGTGAGAAGTCAAAACAAATAGAAAAAATTACCTCTCATTTTTTCAAAGGAACTTGACACAATCTTATGGCAAATGAGCTTCTGCCAGTCATCCCATAGACTAACTATACGTAGCTACTGGTATTTATTATTCTAATCCTGCTGTAAGGTGTAAAGTTTAATTCCTCAGCTGTAACTTCCTAATTTGTATGTTAAATGTTAGAATATCAATTATGCTCTTGGCAACATTTTAGCTTACGATGTTCGTGTTGCACTTTCACCTACATTACCATTGTGCCATAATTGTAAGGGATATGTTTTGTTTTCTGCTCCCCACTTGCCCTGAGTTGGCTCTTGTGATTGTCTAGTGTACAGTAAGATGATAAGTTCACTAAATTAAAAAAAAAAAACAAACCCAAAACCAAACAAAAAAACCAACCCCAAAACTGGCCTGGATTATTTTTTTTGCTAGATTAGCTTTCAGTAACACGGGTGCTGGAAGCTTGCTGGAGTAGAGGAGCAGAACAGGAGTGCAGAACTGAGAACTCTCACTTTTGGCTGTGGTAGACTTAACTTGCCCACGAAGGGAAACCATGTTCTTTGTTTCGAAGCAATTATTTTTTTAGCTGGGATTTTGGAAAAGAAGCAGAAGTCCTAGATTATTTTGAATTGGTAGAGATTTGAAGTGTGCCCAGTAATTCATTCTAATCATGGTTGGAGGAGTATTAGGTGTCACCAGTTGTTGCTTGTGCATTTTACTGTTACAGACGGTAACGAGCTAGCCCTTGGTTCATGCTTGAACTAACAAATTGCTCCACAAGTAGATGAACTAATGAGGAGTAGTTTTGTTGTGGATTTGTGTCCCATATCCCTTAAAGCCCATGCCCTGCATTTGCAAGCAAATGAAGCTCTGGCTGGTTTCGGGCTGTGTGTGTGTGACGGGTCTGCCAAGGTACAGCACTGATGGCCGGTCAGTGTTGCTGCTGAGCAGTCAGGCGATGCCTGAGATCTCCCAGCCCTTCCCTCTTCACTGGGTATCGGGCAGCAGCTTTCCACCTCCCTGTCTCTAGGCTGCTGATTTTTTTAAAAGACACTTAACGGCCTCTCTTCTCGTTGGTGATGGCTAGTCAGTGATTGCAGAAGTAGTTGGTGAATGGTGGATTGACAGGCATGGTGTTATAAAACGCCTTCTTATGAGTGTAGGGGAGGAGTGAAGAAAATTTGAAAGGCTCTTGTTAACATGATTTATAGAAATCAGTTGTGCATGGAAAGTTTTTTTTTCCTCTCTCTCTCTTTTTTAAAAGTTTCCTTTAGTCTGACTGGCAGCAAGATTGAAATTGATATGTGAAGTGCTAACTTCTCATTTAGTTAGGTTAATAGATCAAAGCAGAAAAGCTCTTAACATCTGTAGTATGTATCTTTGTTCATTAATTCACAATATGTTGGTATTGCATGTGTAAGTCAGACCTCAACACACATTGAATGTTTGTTACTCTTCATTTGATATTAAAAAGTATGTACCCTGTAGATTCTTGTTTCTTTCACATCTTTTTTAAAGCTAAAATTTTTGTCAGTCGACTTTTCTAGAAAGTATTTGGAGAGTTTCAGAACAGTTATGTTGACAGTTATGTATCAAAACATTCTCCACTAGACTCTGTCCTCCCATAGGATTATTTCCTTAGGTGTGCAAATAACTTTTTTTTTTTTCCTTAGCAACTGTTGCTTGCTTTTTTGTGTGTGGTGGTGGGGTTTTTTTAAAAAAAAACAAAAAAAAACAAAAAAAACAAAACAAAACCCAAAAACCCCACACCTCATTTTTAATGAGTGTCTGTGGTATACTTGAAAATACGCATTTGTTGATGTGTCATGCATAATGTAAGTTGCACAAAATCTTTAAAGTTTAGTGGTGTATCCACTTACGTTCCTTTGGAAATAGTATCTAGTGTTGTTTGGCTCTCCAGTAGCATTCTTAGAAATTTGAAATGCATTTTTTTTTTTAGTCCCGCCATCTTTGAGGAAACAGAAAATACTAAAATTAGTGTCTTTGAAACAGTAATATACATATCATAGAAGGACCTACAAAATTTTAAGTACTGAAATGTGAGCTTACCTCTAACATTCCTGAGACTCAGTTTCGTTAATATTATCTCTCTATTTGATAGTTATGGAAATAGTTGTAACTGAGGTATTCAGTGTTACTAGTTAGCATGCATGCATTATAAAACTAATTAAGTTCCATAAAATTGCAGTACTTCGTGACTGACAATACTTTGTGATACTGCAGCCTGCCATGAGAGTATTTCTTAGTGTTTCTTTAAAGAGCATGTCAAAGTTCCAGGGTAAATAAATTAAAAAACCCCCAACAAAACCCAAACTAAAACAAACAAAAAAAAAATCCCCAAACCCACTCCCGTTCACAAATTTTTCAGTAGTTTGTATGTACAAGTTGGACACTGACTTATGTTGAGGCGTATCTGTTGTGTTTCTTGTCATAAAATCATAGTCACATATGTCATATTCTCATATAGTAACAAATTCAACTGTGATAAAATTAAATAAGAGATTGATGAGCCTAGAGTCTCAAAAGCTGTAATTGCAGTGTTTTCATACAATTAAGAAAATATTTTTCAGTTATTAAGGATTATGATAAATCTTTACACTCCAGGAAAACCAAACCAGACGAAGCCCTTAGTAACCAAACTCCACGTGTGGAAATCATTTTTAAAAGTTAAACAGGTAAAGGCTTGGATTTTGTAATTGTCAGTGGAAAAGACTGGCTTTAGAAGAAATGTGGAGTTAAATACTGCACCGTATTTTATACGTAGTTATCCAGTAATTAACTTAAAGCCCAATGACTTTAGCAATATTCTGCATTAGTGTTTCTTCTTAACAGGTGTTATTTTCAGGAACCGTGTGGTGATTTGGAAAATTACATACTCTGTTTTAAGAAAACCTGACTCATACTCTCTTGTCTTTAGAAAAATGATATTTTGAAATGGCCTTCAGGATTGAGATAGAGAATAAGAATTATTTTAGTTTGAGGGAATGTAGTTTGTTTTCTGAGTTGCAGGAAAATACGGGTGTGTTTTTTCTTGATTTTTGTAGCTTTTTGATTAGATGTCATTCACTAACTCTGGTTTGCTTTCTCTTGTCCAGGGGAAGAGTATCAGAGAATCGAATTTGGTGTTAATGAAGTTATTGAGACACAGTCATCTGTACTAAATAACACTGACTACAGTATTTCAAGTACTCTGAATCCTCAGGCTCCAGAATTCATTCTCAGTTGTGCACCTGCTCAGAAAGCCCCTGATGATAGTCTCAGTGAAACAAATTACAACTCCATTGACTGCCAGTTCACTGATCCAACACTCGCTTTGGACAGCAGCTCTAATGCTGAAAACGATGGCTTGTCTGGAGGCCTTGGACAAAGGGAGCGTAAAAAGAAGAAGAAAAGACCGCCTGGATACTACAGTTACTTGGAAGACGTCAGTGACGGCATTGCTCCCACAGAAGCTCTTGTAAATGGCCATGCAAATTCGTCGGGACTAAACAGTATAAGCACGGAGGATACGGAACTGACGGCAGACATACCCTCCCTGGCCACACCAAGGACTTGCAACAGCCCGGACAATTCTGTGGACTTCGTTAATGAAGCTGTCTCTGATGATTCTGTTTCTAGCGCACTAGACAATACCAGGACTGCAGGGCAGCCTGAGGTATGCCGTGTTACTAATTCTGAACAGTTTTGCATCCCCTCAGAGACTGGCAGAGATAGCCCTTTAAGGACAGCTGTTGTACAGTCTTATGCTGGTACTGATACTACTGAAAATCTTGGCGTTACTAATGGACAAACACTTGAATCCTCTGGTGAGGACACAGCTGCCAATGGGGTAGAATTGCACACTGTGGAAAGCACTGACTCAGACCAAGCTAAGCCTGAGGAAGCTTCACCTACTACTGAGGCAACAGTCCCAGTTGCAGGATCAGTCCCTGTTAATCAGCCTGCAAAATCGTGGGCTAGTCTTTTTCACAATTCCAAGCCCTCTGCTTCCACATCTGTGGTCTATGTTGAGACTAAGTATACCCCTCCTGCCACATCTACTCTGGTCCCTGAAAAACAGGTTGAAGTCAAAGAGGGACCTGTTCCAGTTTCAGAGGATCCTGTAGCCATAAAGATTGCAGGTATAGTTAATACACATGAGTGGATGTTACGCTGGAAGGGTATTAACTCTGCTTGTAAACAGGAGCGTGCAATATTGATAGAGAAGATTCCTCTGTTAATGTTCTTAATAAGATGACTGTTCAAACGCTGCTCTGAAAGATGTGATTTAAATAAGCTAGTTTTGTATCCCCCTGAGTAAACATTCCAATGAGACATTACCATGTCATTATCCCAGATGCGGTAAAACTATTGCTGCTTGTCAAACAATATGTTTAAGCGATCTGTGATTTTAAATAGGCTGGTTGCATTCAGCGGTGTGCTACTGTAGTAGGGAGAACACGTTAGAAAAGTTCATTCTGAAAATGGTGTGTTACATTATCCAGTATTTATGATCTTGTAATGCATTCCACTACAAGAAGAGTATTAATATTATGCCAAAGTAGCTGAAGTTCCTGGATGCTTACAGTAGCTTAAGTGTAATGTCTAAATAGATCCTGCTTCAGAAATTCTAATTCAGGAAACAGTTTTTATATTTATTGATTTGCTGTTTGAGAGGTCTGTCTTTCAAATTTTGGAGAATTATCCTTAACCATTATAAACAAAGTTATTTTATTCAGACACAATGCTAGCTATTGCCTGTTCAAGAATAACCATAAGAAACTGTCCAGAGGGTACATCAAGAAAGTCAATGCATGATAGAAAGGCTTTGACCGTTGGTCCTGTCATGTTTGTGATTCTAATGAGAAATGCTCGAATGTGTGTGAGATTGTTTTTCCAGATTCAGTCAGAAAATACGAAGAAAAATACCCAGTTGGTTGCATTTTGTGTCACTTGTCACACTTGCGAGTGTTGGAACAAAAATAGTTATTTTAATTCCGTGACATAGTCTGTATGTAAAAAGGCTTGTGCAAAATCTTACTCTTTATGCTACATGCTAATTTACAAGTACAATGGCGTTTTGTGTGTGACAGCTTCAAGTCAAAGTTTACTGCTCTAACCAGAAGCTGACCTGGAGATCTCTATTCAGAATACCCAGAAGTATAGTCTGCCTCTCATTCCCTCCTTAATAACAGTTTCATTACTTAAAATTGTCTGTTGAGAGGAAAGCTGTCAGAGTAATTTATATTTCTGTGTATTTTACACTTAGGTGTCACAAACACAGTTGACTGTGTTAAAAAATGTGTATAAGCAGGTGATTATGGTTTGTATGAACCCATACATGTGGAGTATGTTGTACTCTTAAAATCTTAAGCTATCATTTGGTAATTAATTTTAATTTAAAACTATTTTGTGACAACTGTAAAGCGACAACTGCTTGCCATAGATGAAAAAGGTTTTTTGTCTTGTCCGGGTTGCTTCAGCTTTTAACTTTCTAGACTTCTAGTGTTTCTCTACTGTTTTTTGCCACCAGGTGGGAGCAGAGCTTCTTATTTTGTCTTTAATGTATTAAAATAGCAATATAATTTTTATACAGTTTTCTTCTGCACCTTCACTATTAGCTAGCTGTTTCTACAGAGGGATAATCTGAGTATAGATCCCTTTCCAGTGAGAAGGAATTAATCTTCTTGTTGCAGCAGATTTAGGTAGGAGGTATATTGCTGCAATTCCTGTAATCCAGACGCTACTGATTTCAGTATGAAATGTTTACTTGAAGATCCGAATGCCATGATATCGGTGCTTTGCTCTCTGGAAAAAGGCGACTTTCTTCATTGCCTGCTCTTTTTTAATGGTGTCTGTCCTGTTTGGGATATAGGTACATTAGTGCCCTGCTCATACACCCACACTCAAAAATGTTATATGAGTTTCAGTTTATGATTTCCAGACAGATCGTTTGCTCCATTCCGTACATATTTCATTTCAAATCTTCTGCCTAGGTTAACATCCTTGTGTAAGCGTATATAGTGATCCTGTATGTTTTCCATAGTTAGCAGCTGATTGTGTTCCTAGTCGTCTTTGTGGCTGAGTTGAGATCCTGTTGTTTGATTTGCTGGGAATTCACTGGTTTCAACTCATGCCAATGGGAATGAATTTTTGACGACAAGTGTCATAGGATGCTAAACACAAGTAAAATCTAGACCTAAAGTATCTTGAGTTTAGCAAGCAAAATTAACAAATCTTCTGACAATGTTGGAGCTCTGAGGCCCTTCTGTACAGTTTTTATTTAGAACGTGTGCTCAGGACGCAAGAAGATAAGTTACTTTGCCAGCGACAAATTGCTGGTTTGTGCCTTAGTTTCACCAGTTATTACAAGGGAGGTTAATGACTCCCAGGCACCTTGAAGATAGTTTAATGCTACTTGATTCAACCTGCAAAGGCCTGTGGTTTCTTAGTCCTCAAATGTAAACGAAAGCTACAGACGATAAGGAGATGAAGATCAGGACTAGAAAATAAATAAACAAATTTCATGTTAGCCTTGATGAGAAAAAAGTACTGAAGAGTTAATTTTACCAAGTGGCTAAGGTGTGTGGTGAGAAGCTTTGCTGGCAACACTAGCGAACAAGTTAAAGGAATTTCTGAAGCAAACAGTGAGCCATTGATGTTTATTTGGCAAAACTGCAGGCAGATAACATCAGAATGGTAGAGAAGTACAGGTAAGGCACTCGCATATTTAGAAAGGGGCAGCCATGCTAATTATACACCTTAGCCTAATTTAGATGCTAGGACAAACATTTTAATAATTTGTTTCTAAGGGATAGTAAGGTTATAAATGGTCCATATTTGTAAAAAATATGGCGCTCTCTCAGGCTTCACTTGCTGCATTTCAACAGTTACTACCCTCTGATGCATAACCTGATGATAGTTAATAATGCCTTATATAATGTTCTAAGTAAGCTAGGGAAATAAGTGATTAGAAAACTAGCTGTTCTCTGAGTAGTCTTTTAACTGTTCTTGGTAACTTCAGAAAAATTTCAATGGGAGAATCTAAAAAGATTTTCTGAATCATGTTTTCTTGCAGTGTTTTCATTGTGGATGATGGAATTAAGAATGCATGTAAAATTTGTTTACAGCAGGCAGAATTGCAGGTGAATTGAACACAAACATTTAAGATCTGGCTAAATCTGGAATGATTTTAAATTAGAAGGAGGGGAATCCAATAAATGCAAGTATGGAACGATACACCAGAAGAGAAATCAAATGCAAACATACAGTACGAAGAACAAACGGTTGGTAATAGTATTAGAGAATAAAAGCATCTGGAAGTTCTAGGGAGTTGATAAGTGTACTTAGTAAAGCTGAAGAAGACTTAAGTTTTATTTCCAGTGTGTGTTAGTACCAATTTACACGGAAAAGATGCAAGGTAACTACGATTCTGTCGTTGCTGTTGAGGACTCGATGAAAATGCCAGTCTTTGGGCATTACTTCTCAAGGAAGATGTAACAGTGCGATGCAGAAACCAGAAGTAAGATTTGAAAACCACATTCTTTCGGCAAACATGGAAAATTTGGATTTACTTTGTCTCACATGAGATTGTTGGAGTGATCCTGGCTGTAACTTCAAATACATAAAACAAATTCATAAAGAAGATGGCGATTCATTGCTCTCCCAAGCCTGTAGTGAACAAGACAAGAATTGCTTAGTTTAATTTGTAACAAAGGTCTTTCAGTGTTACATAGTAGAAAAAATTTTCTTATTGTTAAAGCTCGGTAAGCACTAGAGCAACTAGTTGTGGAATGGAGGCATGCAAGGTTTGGGAGGGTTTATAAAGAGCTTCAGAAATTTAGCCTGTTGTACGATCAAACTGCATTCTTGCAGAATCTGATTTTGGATAGGGTTATCCAGCAGTGTTGTCCTGGCACTTTGTCATTGTCCAGATTTGAAGAAAGATCTGAGTGGCATACATAATATTTGCCAAATAATGGTCTCAAGCAAGTATTAAATTGCTACCGTCTAACCTGTGTATCTTTTCAGCATGGAGACCCATACCCATGGGGTTTCTCTTTCCTTAAACTTTGGACTTGCATGGATGAGGGAATTACAAGTTTGGGTTTTTTTTTTAAATTTGACAGGTATTTGTGATAACACCACCTAGTGAATGAACTTTAGCAAAATGTTTTCTGTTTACCATCAGAAATTTCTGAACATGATAATATTGCTCTAGGTATGTTTTCAAATCAAGGCCATGTTTCATAATTCATTATCTACCAAAGGGAACCTGAATTCTTTCTGGTTAGTGACATGTGCTTTGTAACAGGTTTTGAAACTCTAAGAAAGTTTTCTCACGGTGGTAAGAGTATTTTTCTTCTGATACTCTTGTAAAAGTTCTTGTAGTTATTGTGTAAATGTTGGATGTGAGATGAAAATGTGGTGTTGAATGTAATTGCTGTACACAAAAATAATTCTTTATGTTAAAAGAAAGAAAACTCACTGTAATTGCTCTAGTCATTGTTTACAAAGCAGTTTTATGACCACAAGAGGATGCTAAAGGTCCTACTAGTATTTTTATTTAGTATGATAGAAAAATGGGGGAAAATACAGTTACCATTAAAAGTAATTGATAGACATTAAAATACTTTCTTCATTATTTTTATCCTAATTTTCAACAGTGCTTAGTTATATTAACAGAAAGATTGCATATGTGCACGACGTGTTTCAAACTTTGCTGCATTAACAATATATTCTGAAATACTTGAGCATTAATAATTTAATAGCAAATATATTTCAGCACTCGCAGAAGTGTTTCATCTGCGTCTGTGCTAGGTGCTGACGTCTTCCCTTTTACATCTCTTTGCTATCTCTCAGGTGTCAGGCTCTTTATGTAATAGAGGACTGATTTAAATACTTCCTATTTTTTGGCATGTTTTTATTTGGTTAGAACTGGTGTTGTCAGC